GTCTGCCGTTCTCTCTTGTAAATATCCCAAAAGTATCGCAATTGTGAATAGCAAAACTATCTATGAAGAGCCAGTGTCGTTCCATCAACCGAGCGTTATCCAAACGTCGTCGCCAGTCAAAAGCAGCCCTCACGTCAGCGTTGCTGAAGAGGAGGAGGAGGAGGAGGAGAAGGAGGAGGAAGAGAACATTGAGAAGGATCTCTTCGGTTCCTCCCCGTTTAGCCCGAGCGGATTCACTAATCCTTTTAACGCTCAGTCCAATTTTTCGAACATCGACTCCGCGCCGACTCAACCTTTGTCAATCCTGAGTCCAGTCGGCTCTTCATTGTACATTGATTATGCCAACTGTGTTTCACTGCAGTCCCACAACGCGACATCGGACAATTATTTCATTAGTCACTCGAGCACAATCGCGTCCACGTCGAAATATGGTAGGGTGACGGTGAACTCTGATCCAACGATTAGTGTGGAACCCTCCAAGGATCTCTTCGGATCGATTCCGTTCGAGGAATTCGCCTCGCTGAAGCTCAATGAGCAACAGCAGCAGCAACGCCCGACGTCTCTGTCACTGTCGCAGTCGTTGTCACAGTTGCAGTCACAGTCGCCGAACTACGTAGACAATGTCGCGTTAACGACGACGTTGCCGATCAGCAGCATCGTGCAATCCCCAAAGAATACTGTCGTTCATTTAACACCCACTCCGCAATTGCAGTCACAACCGTCCGCCTATATGATTCAAACGACCACTACGCATACCGCAAGGATCACCGTGCAGGCAGTCAACAGCGTCTCTAAGGTGGACATTACATCCAATATGATGTCACCCATGTCGCCCGAACCTCTGGTCGCCGCGGATGACGACACGCCGAAACACAACAAAAAAGACAAATCCAAATCGGACAAGTCTAAGTATCACCTGATCAACGAAAATCACGGTGATGTCATCGACGTATTACCGACTTATAAGGCGTCTCACAAAATCAAATCGGCAAGCCACAAAAAAATACCCAAAGGCAAGAAGAGCACGGCCGCAACCGCTGGTTTCAGTAATATGAGCTTTGAAGATTTTCCTAGCGACGAGAATGAAGAGAGGCAGACAGATCGAATGAAGGTAGCGCCTTTTGAGGTAATCCGTGAAGCGTCGGAGAAGCGTTTTGGATCATTGAAGAGGCGGAGCAATCCGTTCACCTGAAATGAGATGGTTTTTGTTAGGAGCTAGTTAATACAAAGCTGTTTATTAGCAACACAGGAACAGATAGAGCAGCGATATGATATAGTTGATTAATTCGTTGTGTATGTTGTAGAGATAAACATCGGTAAACACACCGTTCTATACACACAAAATTATTTGATTGATCAGAGTTTTATTACGTGTATGTGAATGCACACACATACACACACTCTAACAGCGTTAGCAAGATATTAATCTTAATAGATAGTAAAAATGACATGATAAAATTTCCAACTGGGAGTTGATATACAGGTTGTATATATGTAGAAAGCGTTTGCGTTTAAGACAATTTCTTTTTCGGACGCGCAAATACGTCAAGAGTGAAATTCCGAGTGAATAAAATTGCGTTTGTTTCACATGCTTGTTTTCGGAATGTGCGTTTGTGAAAAAATAATAATAAGTCAGAGAAATTAATTTATTTAATAGATCTCTCGTAGAAGATTGCAAAAAGTAATATTTAAAATTTTTACCTCTATGATTAAGCCAAATATCGAATGCTGCAGTATTAGAAACTGCTTCTTTAAATGCTTAACTTGCTCTCGAATTAACAAAATTCTACGATCATGATTAACATCTTTTTGACATCCGTTCATTTTTTCACAAACGTCGACAATGTGATGTGATAGCAGCAAAAGCTGCATATGTTTATATCAGAAAACATACAGCATGAACAGATATATTTATATGTACACATGCCTAACTGACAAACGTGGATCGTATAAAGCGTGATTTACACTAATGTCGGAAAGTATTAATTCATATACTACCATTTTTTAATTACTTTTTGCATTTTTAGAAGATTTACACAGACAAGACAGATAGCCATAAGAAATTGATGGAAAAAAAAGACATTGTATTAAACAAAACTGTTGATTTTTGAAATACTGAAAAGAAAAAGTGAGAAAGATAAAGAGAGAAAGAGAAAAAGGGAGAGAAAGAGAGAGAGACACTTCCCAACTTATGATTTAACATAAAACCAGGTTGTGGAACTTGGCAGCTCGATACCAAAAATAAAACTAGGTAGAGAAAGCTCGTGCATCTATTTTTGCAGCTAAGTCTTTTCACTACGTTTGTACTTTACAAAATTTGTAGATTTCTACTAGTTCAATCTACTAGTTCATACAAAGCAATTTTTCTAAGAAAGTTAATCTGTGTACTACATACATATATATATATATATTGCAAAATTGGTGAAAAAGATAATTTTTTTATTATATATATTTATGGTCTCTTGGAGAAGAGATTATAAGAGAGTATGAAGATTAACATAATGAATAATTTACAGAAATTAGTGTTACAAAGGCGCAGATAATAGCATTGTGAAGCGATTCATAACATTTGTAAAGGAGCGAATAGGCTCGTTTATAGAATTGGCCTTACCGTGTAAGACTGACTTATTGTTTAACAGTCTCGATTTACATTTACATTGTGTAAGATAGCTATGTTTTGACAACGTTATGGTTCATAGACACGAATTATTCGAAACGAATACTGATAACGCGATTACTATGTCCCTTATGATGGAGACTGTTAAATAAAATGTATGAAAAGTAGATGTGATACTAGTACTTAGTGTATAGGTACTAGTGAGAATACTTATCGACGTTAATTTTTTTATCTCACATTAAGAGAATATCTTGTATGTGTTAAATTATTCGATTTCAGCAATTGAATTTTAATACGTTTTATATAACTTTGGAAATTATTTTAACCAAATTTTATACTGCTAATATACTGCGCCTTTTTAATCGATTCTACGAAAAGGATCTAGTTCAGTGTAAAAAGATGTGACAATATGTGTGTACGTGCGAGCGTGCGTATGTGTGTGTGTTGCGTGCGCGCGCGCGCGCAATATATATATATACACACATTTGTATAAATATATATATATATATTTAAGGATATTTTATATATATTTTCAAAATAATAAAATTATGAAAAAATTGCAGCTTATTCTAAATCACATTTAATAATAATAATACGACAAATTTGTTGATTTACTATCTAGATTACAAGTTATTTTAATAAATAGTAGTATTTTTCAAATCTGTCTTTTAATAAAAATATATGGAAATGTGTTATAAAATAAATAATAAAAATTTCAATTTTTAAATATAAGCACATTATATTTAAGATTATTTACGTAAAGTTACATTGCGATGCATGAACTAGTTGTACAGTAAATAAACGAAATATTTATTTGTTCTATATATCTTTGTAACTAATTAGTGAATCGCAATAAAACTGTACACAAATTATTTTGAATATTTAAGGTACTTATAACAGAAAAATGTAAATTTTTTAATCATTTTTTAAATTATAATTTTTAACAATAAAAATAATAATGTAGAATAAACTACAAAAATGTATTATTAAACAAAAAAATTATCTTATTCACACAATTTTATATGTACATAGTTTATTTGAAATATAAATATTAAACACATTTCCAAATTTAATTTTGTTTTACAGGGATTGTACGTCCAATATATCCTTTAAAAAATGTTTATAATATCTATATGTTTTTATGCACATACACGCCACACACACACACACACACACACGCGCGCGCGCGCGCGCGCGCACGTATATATGTATATATGTGTATATATGTGTGTATGGAGTGTGAGTGGGACATTTTATCCCAAGTGGGGAGAATTAACATTAAGAAAGGTAAAAAAATTTATATAAAAGTTTCATAAAATGTATGTTTTCTTAGAGGAAAGAAGGTGAAAAATGAATTTTGTATAGAGAACATTATAAGAACTAATCAAAGTAGATATGAATTTTTTATTTAAATGGAAATCCTTATTTTTAAAAGTGCGAATCATTTAATGCTGTAAATGCTTCGTTGACTCAGAAAGAAAGAATTTGTTGAATCAAAAAATATTTCAAAGCATTTGCAGCCTGAAATAGATCTCATCCTAGTTTTCAACTTAAAACGGATTATAATCAGTGTTTCGAAAACGTCTTGACAAAAATATATAATAAAAAATAGGAATTTCCATTCAAAGAATTTATGTTGACCTTGACTTTAGTATGGCTCTTAAAATTCGTTATTTTCATCTTCTTCCTCCCAAGAAAATCTATAATTTTTACATACAACTCTTTTATCTCTCTTAATTCCTAAGATATCCGCTTGCGGCGATTAAAATGCCCCGCCTGATATATATGTATATAACAAAATGTAACATAATTTGTAGATATTATAGCTTGTATGATTTAGGTGCCTTCCTTTATCGAGTAGCATTCAAGCTTGCAAGTCTCTGCTGTTATGTAGAATAAAAGCTGATAGTATTATAAGATAAACAGAGTCAATTGTATTTGTATATGTAAGGGATAATGTATCTAAGAAATTGTTTTCTGTTTAGTTCCTATCATAACGGTGAGATGTATGTATATCTATAGGAGAAGTTAAAAGCTATTTTTAATGTCGTCATTGCAAAAGAGTAAGAGTTATTTATGCATACATAGAAAATTAAACATTAAATTTCAGCAACATGATGAAAATTCGATGAGAAGTAATAATTTCAAAGTATTTGTTGAACATATGGAAGAACCGTTGTAATTCCAAGCCTTAAAATAATATACTTCATCATTCTGTGCACCACGTATAAAATAGAACGAACTGGAGGTGCTAAAAAATACTGAGCATTTTTAATTTAACATCCTAAGCCCTGTTTCTACCAATATAGTTTAATTTTAATCTCGGTTTAACTAACTCTTCGTTTTTTTCCAGTTCTGAGAATTAGAAAAAGATAAAGAGTAAGTTGAACTGAGATTAAAGTTAATTTACATTGGTAGAAACGGGTCTAAGAAGAATATAATTCGATTGATAAATTCTCTGATTCTACATATATAATATATAGATACAATACATTCCCTCTTTAAATTTTCACATATTGTTTTATTTATTGTATGGTTTTATAGGTTCTTTCTTCTTCGTATTCTTTTTCATATATGTCTCGCAGGAAAAAAATAAATATCCTAAATATGTGTGTCGGAAAGTTTTACGAATATATTTGATTAGTTATATTTAAATTGTGTCACTGCCTGCACTAACAGGTTATTGTACCATTTTCTTTACCATTTATCATGAATAATATAATTATCGTGTTTCAGCAAGGTAATGATATGAAAGAAATAACGCGTTCTCGTTTATACTAAGTTTAACAGTGTAGATTTTTAAACTTCTTGGAATGATCAAAAATATAGTTTCAATATGTGCGCACATGTGTATGTGTAATATAGTAATGAAAATCGTGTAAAAATGTATAAAGAGAATGGAATTATATAAAATATGAAAGAGGGACGCGATTATTTTCCACGGCAGAGCAGATGAATCTTTAATTTTTTTATATTAGGCACAAATACGAAGAAAATAGTTATTGAAAACACTATATCTCTGTATAAAATACATAAATAAAATGTATACTATTAACATGAGTATCAATCATATACGCCTGCGTCCTGTAATATTTTTTCAGAGGACATCCTTATTTATTATATTTTACCAAAATATTATCAAGAGTTTGCCACTAATTAATTTTATAAAGGATGTCATTCAACAGCAACAAAATTTTTCTCCTAAATTTCGCTGTCTTTTCCTCGCCATGATGAAGTTTATAGAGCACGCGGCTATCCAAGCGACGAAATTGAACCAACTTGTATATATTGCGAGATGAAGCGCGATCCCGGTGTTCATCTCGGTGCGACTCCAGTGATTCTTATCTGGCTCAACATAATCCATGAAATCAAAAATCGCGCCGCACGACAATCTATTATGAATCGCCTATAACAAGAATAAATTAAAATAAAGTTCTAATCTTTAAATTCATTTTATTTTTGGAATATATCAATCGCTAAAATTATTTAATCGGAACTGACAGTAAAAGTCGAATGATCTCACTCAACTTTTTGACCTATCTACTATCATTATAAATCTTGTGGTCAAAAAGTCAAACAATTCAATTTTCTTTACATCTGTAAAAATTATTTTTATTAAAATATACTTAATATTCATTCGTTTTTTTTTATAGTATATGAATTATGTTATTTTATTCTTTAAAATTAATTGATGTCTTTCAATTAACATAAATTAAATGGATTTTATAGACCCAGCATGAGTAACTGTTACAGATTTTGATGGTCAGCTCCGGAGGATTAAGTTAGAAAAAAAAAATGTTCATCTTACTAAAATTTCGCGGCCTCTCGAACCCAAGAGTTGAATGAGATTTCGTCTATATTGTTCGCAAGTTTTATAGTAGCCGTCGGTTATCACGACCGCGTGGGCGAGAGACAGGCAGCAGACAAGCGCTGCGAGGAAACCGATAGGCATCCACCTCTTAAAAGCAACTCTCTTCTTTACACGAACCACAACATACCCATTAAGATTTCTTCTACAAGAAAAATGTAATTAGAAAAACACATAATTATGAATAAAAATTCCGGTAAAAAATTTTTCATACATGAATGTGTATAAATATATATAAACATACATAAATATTCATAAACATGTATATAATATAAAATATGTCTATATATATATGTTCATATATCCCTCTTTTTTTTGTAAAATTTTAGTGTAATAAAAATAATAATAGTAACTTGAAAACATAAAAAATAATTAAAGCGATAATTTTCGCATTGTTCGTTTTAGAAAAAAACAAGTTTGGAAAAATATAAAAAAGATTGCTCATACACAATTATGCATAATTTTATATGTAATTATATATAAGTAATTTTATTATATTTCTTTAAACTTGAATTTTTCTAAAACAAAAATTTAATTATTTTTAATGTTTTCACATTACTATTATGTATTGTATGTTTATGAATATTTATACATATTTATACATATTCATGCATGACAAATTTTTTACTTCTCAAAAAGTGAGAAGAATAAGCACCTGTCATTGTACACTTGTCCATGATTAATTTGCTTAGGTTCGTCTAAATTTTTATGTATGCAGCATCTGTATCCATGATAGGCTCCAAGACACAAGCTGATTACTATGATGGGTGTGAGAGCGTACGCGGCGAAGTGGCATAGTTTCTCATCGCCGCCGAGAAATGTGCGAAATGTATTGATACCGTATAATATACAACCGCAATCAACATCGATGCAACCGTCTAATGTCACTACCCAATTCTGCCATGTGGTCACCAGAGATATAACAGATGTGACGGAGAATATCATGGATCCGGTATACAACACTGCCAGCAATATTTCTGCTTGCTTTGAATTCATAATTGCTTCTTATATGCCTCCTCCGAATTATCCAAATTATCAATTAGAAAAGAACTCTTTGTACGTATCCACTTGTTTGTCGTTAAAAAATATTCATCAGCAGAAGGTATAATATGGCAATACCTACTTTATTCTCCATAGAAAGAGATTCTTTCTTTATTTATATTTTAATAATTATAGTTTCGTGTATAACATGCGGCATGAGTTTATCTGGAAGATAGAGAAAATATATTTTATAAGCCTGATTTCTTCGTCCTATTTTTTATACATTACAGAGTTATGAATCTATCTATTAGGTGTTGTTAATTCGTAGCGTTTTACAAGTGATGGGAAGTACTTTCATTAATGTATTTTTTAATGCTCATGTGAAATAAATAACATTCTTTCATTAAAAACGCTACGAATTAATTCCAACACCTAATAATATAAAGTTAAAAATGTCGTTTTTCTTACATCATCTTAATCCTGAATTAGAATGTATTCAGAGAAAAAAATATAGTGGTAACAATTATATACAAGTTTTACATAATAATTAATATGTATATAATTATAAGAATAAACTATTTTTATAGCACTTATAAAAATTTTTACTGCACTTATAAAAATTCAATTATAAATTATTCATAATTTTATGTTTTTCTCTCTGTGTATAAATTTGTATTCTAAAACATGCATACATATTCTTTGCAAGTTTTTAAAGATGCTTATTAATATCATTATGACGATCAATCTAACTTAAGAAATTAATATATATATTAAGCTTCAATTTGCGATTGTGTTTCAAATCTGACAAACTCGACGCGTAGTTTCTAAAAATGAATAATATTTGTAAAAATTTGCATATGAATATTATTAAGCAGCAAAATCTGTTGCAACCAAATATAGGATTATTTCTCTTAACTAATTTATACATATCTCTAGTGAAAAAATAAGCTAAATGACTAACATTGTTAACTATATATATATATATATACATACATATAATAATAATAATTAATAATCATATGAAATAAGAAAAATAGAAGAGACGATCAATAAAAATATTATGATCGACAATTACATATCGTCAAAAAGATAAAAGATGTTGTGGAGAAAAATATTTTAAATTAAAACTTTTTATATTATAGTGGTTATATTATAGTCATTAATAAGCCACGTTCTAATTCTAAAGGAAAATTCGACAAATGCTAATTTTAATTATTGCTTTCATGTTCAACTTTATTTAATCTCTGTATGATTGATTTTGACCTTTTATCATGGACCTTTTGTTTATTATTCCGAGACTTTTTGCCAAGGTCTCGGAATATTGTGATTCACTATGGCGCGGCGTGGATAGACAGGAAACGCAAGGCGTGAAGATTCGCGTAGGATTGTAAAATACGCGAAACAGGTTGAGAACGGTACAAATATTTTAGAGAAGCTATTTCTCCATGTTCGATCTATTTTCGGATTAAATCTCAATTTCATCTGTCTCCTATCGCACGCACACCCAGTTTCGCGCATTCGGGCGAGATCACTTTTCCATCATTGATGCGCGGTATCTTCACTATAAATTTTAGAATATCATTATTAAATAACGTAAAATGCGATACTATGATATATTAAAGATATATTGGGTATATATCTAGGCAGCACAGAATATCTATGATAAATATTTATTACTATAACATTTATTTTTTGAAATGTTATACAAATATTTTATACATATTTTATATACAGCTTTATTTAAAATATCATTAAAATATAGGCTAAATATTTTATGTAATTTTTATGATAAATATAAATAAATATTTCTAAGTATATTTTTTACTTATAATTATCTTATTAAAACAATAAGTAATTTCATAGCATTTATCACAACATTTATAATAAATATTTCATAATATTTATAATAAATATTTGTAATTTGTTCAATTTAAGACCACAAAATTATTTTCAAAATATTCAAAATAAATTTTACAAATATTTTCTAAATATTTTATAAATATTGTGTGCTGCTGTTTGGATATATTAATTCTCTGCAAAAAGACTAGAATTGGAAATATATACTTTATGTATAAAAATGCATGAATATTATATGAAATAGTTGATCAATGGACAATATTTATATAACATTATTTAACAATATAATTTTGTAGATTAAAAATAAATAAAAGTTTTCTTATAATTATTTTTAGAAAACATGTCTTATTGTGTGATAAATAATTTTTTATCTAGATTCTAAGTCGCCACAAAATTTTTGTTGTATTATTTTCAAAAATACAACACAGAAAAATCTGTAATTTTTAAATAATTTTTCTATTTTGTTAAAAAATGCGTCTATACACACACACACACGCTCGCACGCACACAGCAAGTATATGAGATATATATATTATAATATATATTAAATATAATTTTGAGCAAAATATTAATATTGTTATTAAATGTTAAATGTCAAATCAATATTGTGTGTATCTATTAATATATCCTTCATTTTCTCGCAATGTAGAAAAAAATATCCTTATCTATAATAATACCTTCTGTATTTTTGTATAATTCCTATTTGTATAATTCTTAATTATACAGGATGTTTGATAAGTAACGATAAACTCTCGCATAAGGGTAGAGCGGATTAAACTAAATCGAAAAGTCTTCTACCATTTTGCAATTTTTGCAATAATTAACAAGATATTAATTATTAAAAATTATCAAATATTGATTTTCAATATTTTTTTACTCAAGTGCTATCAATTTTACAGAAAAACAGCAAATGACAAAAATTGTTTAATTTCTTCTCATAGAGCTTTATAACTCGAAAAATACTTTATGAAAAATTATTTTATTATAGTGTTTTGAAAAACTCTCAAGGTGCTACAAGAATATATAATGAAAAATAGGGAGTTCCATTTAAAAAATTCAAAGTGACATTGTTCTGACTTTGATGACGTCACCCAAAATCAGACTAATCAGATCACTAAATAGATCATTTAGAAACCCGTAACTTTGTCTGAAACGTTTTTTTCTAAAATACCCTGTTTTCGAGATAAAAGGGGCGTACAGATAATCTGAGACACTTGGTATTGGCAATTATTTTTACCAACATGAAAAAATGCGATATTACAAAAAATTTGAAAAAATTCTCAAAATTCTATGAAAAAAAAAAATAATTTTTGTCTTTTGCCGTTTTTCTGTAAAGTTGATAGTACTTGAGTAAAAAATTATTGAAAATCAATATTCGGCGATTTTTAATAATTAATATTTTATTAACTATTGCGAAAATTGTAAAATGATAGAGGATTTTTTTACTCAGTTTAATTCGCTCTACCCCTATGCGAGAGTTTTATCATTACTTATCAAACACCCTGTATATATCTTCACTATCAAGCAATTAATGCTTATAATAATTGACTGAATAATTCAACACTGCCTATATTTATTATTGTAACAGATATTGGACACGAATCTAGACAAAAACAAAGTATCAATTAAACACAGCTAAAAGCGAGTTAAATTATTGGAGCTTGCCTATCATCATGTTGGTAAACTGATAATATGTATGTTAAATTTCTTTTTATATGTTTTACTCTGCAAAGGAATATTAAAAGAAAACTAGAACGCATTGCACAAATTTAAGCTATTAAAAACTTGAAAGATTAAAATAAAACACGTGTTATATATATAGGAAAAATTTTCGTTGCCTTAGTTTTCGACACAAACTGTTATAATAAGTGGCTGACGAAGCTTGAAAAATACACCGTCGAGTCATTAATCAAACCTGCAACGTAAATAAGTGGTGGGATTGAACGTATAAACAATAGAGCACTCACGATAATTCGAATACGTATGCGCACCTGCAGGAATCGCAGACAATAGACTGACTGAAAGGTTGACTGCTTGATGAGCCCTGATCGGATAATAAAACTCTTCATTCTCTATCTAGCTGGAGCTAGATGCAGAGGTGTTAATTAAGGTTAATTAGCATCACCTGTTTTTTAATGACAAGTGTAGATAAACACTGTTCACATTTTGACGTTGCTGGATTGTGATGCAAATATATACGCAATGCTGTATGATTTGAGAAAAATTTTGTGGTCTTGAAAATTTAACAAAAGAGTAAAAAAATAATAATAATAATAAGTTTTTTTATTTGTTTCTTTTTTTCTCGCAAGATTCAAAGAGAATAAGAATCATTTCGATGAAAACTCATGCTTTTATAAAATTACAAAAGTAATACATTTATATTTAAATTTGTGAAAAAAAAGAGAGAAATATTTAATTTCTTTTTTTCCCAAATCGAAATCAAATTTTTGAGAAATAGATAACTAGGAACGGTTGTAGAATTATATAAAAGAAATTTTATTAGAATGCTTTGATCATCGATATTTTTTAATTCTGAAATTCAACTATTAATTAATATCATCTCTGCTTTTTTCATGGAAAGTTAATATTTATTATTCGATGATGTTGCGCAGATGTGGCGCAGACGATATGCAGGCTTAATGCAATATGCATACGATTTGAAAAGAACTTTGTGAGATCAAGTCTTGGAATAAAGCGAGAAAAATCATTTCGACTCATGCTCTAATAAAATTACAAAAGTAATACATTTATATTTAAATTTTTGAGAAAAAAGAAAAGTTTAGAGAGAAAAATTTAATTCTTTTCCCCCCAAATTAAAATCATTTTCAAGAAACAAATAACCGTAGAGCTATAGGAAATTAGAGTTAGAAAATTGTTGTGATCGATAATTTCTAAAACTTAACTGCTTTCCTTAAATCTTATGCAGAATCACGTCCATCGGTGTCGGAGAATTCAAAGTGACTACTTTTGCTGGGCTTCTTGCACTTCGTGCAATAACATATGTTGTATACGCAAGAATTTACGCGCGCACGTGTGTGTTCTTGTTTAAATAAACCGCACATTTTCATAAATATTCTCTCGTCATCTCACAGCCTACGTTCGACAACGATCGTGAATCTCGCAGGTCAAATATTGACTCATGAAGCTCAGCCTTCTATTGCTCCGCGCAACGAGTACACATTATCTATATCTCTCTACCTCCTTATAGCTAATTAATTTGTTAATTAAATAATCGATTATTGCTTGCAAGTCGCGTACACTTCGTTCTACAAATAGAAAAACTTTTATTTCTTTTGTATATAAACTTGATTTTTCATCTTTCTTATAGTCGAAAATTTCTCAGCTCGGTTAATCTTCAGCTATTTCTCTCATCTTTAAAATACAAAGAAACGATTATTATAAAATGAATCGCGATTCAAGTACATCATAATTATCTAGAAAGTTCCAATATTTGTATGTCGCCGTTTGCATTTGGAATTAATAAATGCATTTAAAACATTAGATAGATAAGAGTATCATGCATTTAAATAGACAAACACCATTTGCAATCGCTTTAATTTTCTTACTTGTAAAACAAAAGAGTTCAAAGAGACGCTACTGGCGCTATTAACGTTATTCTATCTTCATCATTTACTACACGTAAAACAAGAATAGAATGACACAAATAGCATTAATAGTGTCTGCTCGAACGCATCTATAGATTGATCATACATAAATCACTTCACTAAAAGTATTCACAAAATTTGCATTATTCTTTCTAATTATCAATACATGATGCAACACGATGCTTTATACCTCACATGATGACTTCATTGTAAAAATCACGTATGGTTATAACAGCACACAAATAATTTTCTCTAATTTTGTTTCAAATTATCTGTACGGCTATTTGCATTTACGTTTTTTTAAGCGCTGGTGAATTATAGATACTCCAATTTGTTCGATATAAACGCGTATATACACGATCGAATATGTTCTAACATATTCCCGTTCCCGTAATATGCGCAAGACCTGATAGTGAGATAAGCCTTGATAAGATTAACGCCTTTCTGGCAATACCTATCCAACAAATAAAACCTCCAAAGCAAAAACGTATGTGTTCAGAATTATAATTTTATATTTGCAAATAAGGCTTATTATTATTTAACTTAATAAAATATATTCACTCGCAAAAAATACGGGTCATTGTATCGATGACTTATATTTTTTGCGAGTGAGTATATGTGTGTGTGTGTGTGTGTGTGTGTGTGTGTGTGTGTGTGTGTGTGTGTGTGTGTGTGTACATATATATATATAAAATATTAAATCATAATATACGTACATATTATATCAATCTGTTTATTTGAAAATACTGGTTGGTTTTAATAAATTTATTTCTTCTAACATTTCTTCAATAATTTATTTGCATCGTACGTAAGTTTTTCTATGTACAAGGTAACGTGAAGATATGAAAAAGCATCGAAGACCTCTTTTATAGTATAGATGTCAATTTGTTATATCAATCTGCAAAAAGAAAAAACAAGAAATTACATTAAAATATTTATTAAATTTGACACTTCCGTGAAAGAATGTTTCTATTATTATGCATTATTCATAATTCTTTATACATATTAATTGCAAACTTATGCCTCACTTATAACGGGATAAGAATAATTACAAAAATTGAGATAATTCATTATTCTGGAAAATAACACAGGTGGACATCAATTGTGCAACATGAATGAGATGTATCATTTTCCATAAATTTTTCATTTCTAAATTCGAATCCGGCGGTGAGATTTTTGTATTCCATAGATTTATCTACAATGTTGTTTAAAAAATGGCTAAAATGGCTAAATGTTTTTTTTTTATACTTTTGATTTTAATTTGGAAAAATCTGACATGATATAAAAATTTCGCTGCCGGATTTAGATTCATGAAAAAGCTATGAAAAATTATACATTATATTTATGTTGCATATCTAATGTCTATTTGTATAATTTATTTACAAAAACGTCGTATTAGCCAAATAGACAAATAGAATAGAGATCATTTCTCTAAATTTGTAATAAATAAAATCTTCGAATTACTTCACTGCACTAGTATCAATCCACAATATATTATTTTTATGCAATAACAATATTTTTTTTACAAAGTAAAAAATTTATATGGTAATTCATAAATTTCGACAAAAAAAAATATTACATTATTTAATTATAACATTTAACATATAAAACAGATGGTATTCTTATTATATATTTTATACCTTATAAATCTTATCTACGTAAAATTTATAACAAATTACATAAATAAATAAAATCTGTTATCACACGCACGCACACACGCGCGCGCGCGCACACACACACACACACACACACACACACACACACACGCACGCACGCGCGCGCGTACACACACACACACATGCATATGTGTGTGTGTGTATATGTATATATATATATATATATATATACACATATATACATATTATATATTTATGTATATATGGCCTATCAAAATAGACATTATGTGACCTGCAAGATGGCCTTCAGTTAAAAAAAAAATTGCATCATTGCTTTAAACTATAACATTCTAAATAATATACACATGCATATGTATATATATATATATATTTTTATATGCATCCTTATTGCAGTATCTTTTTTTAGATATATAAATGTTATAATGGAAAAATTTCAACTTTTTTAAATATTATAACACTGCTGTCAGTGTTGTTGCAGCAGTAACAGTAATGAGATAGTAAAAATATTCAATTGTGACTACTATTTAGCTTTTTATTGAAATATGTACACACTCTTACGCCGCATGTTTCCATCTATTCACACGATGCAACGACAAGCCTCCATTATTCCAGGCGCAGTACATCACTGCAACCCCTGCTGCAATAGCACCTGCGATACCAGCTTTTCTAATCCCAGCTAAAATAAAAAAATACACATCACTTTATTGTAAGAAATATAACTTCTAATATGTTACTCATCTACTACAACAACTTATAATATATGTTAATTACGTAATATATTTTATTATATTACGTATTTTATTATATTAATATCATTTGCTATAATAACTGAAGAAAGTTTTTCAAAAAATGAGTTTAGATATTTTGAATTATTAATTTTAATTTTAAAAGACAATAACTGATTGTAGAAGAATAAAAGTATACTTTTAAAGATTGTTTCTATTTATATGTTTCTGTTCCTTTTTTATAAGCAATTAAAAATGATAATTTTTGAATTATATTGTTGTAGCAAATGAGCAATATATACATGATCAGGCTCCATACCAGGCGATCTGAATATCGTAGCACTCGTAGCAGCTGCGGCTACTGTATTCAAACTGTCGTCGGTTCCTCTGAGCCAAGTTAGACCTATTCCAGCACAGGTGTACATTATCATAATCACACCGAGTGAATTTGCCATACTGGCGCCACCTTTCATAACATAATTAATCAATCTGGAAAGAAAATACATACATGCACAATTGTTCAGGTATCAAAAGGAAATAAATAACAAAAAATAATAACGCACTGTGTTCTTCTGAGTTTGCCTGTCTCGCCAGCAATAGACGTCGCCTTGACACCTCTGTATAAACCTGACGCACCACCAACTCCTGCGCCTGCTATGCATGCAGCTCCAATTTGACTGAAAGCTAACTCAAAGCGGCCTCTTTGTTTCACAGCACCATCAGGAAATATGAATTCCGGCTGACTGACAGGAAGGTATGATGGGTCAAAATTTAAATACGGGCTAAGTGAAGCTAAACCTTGTTGTGACGTGACTAAAAAGTAAAATTAAAGTTTCTTAACAAGCAATATAAGGTAATTACCAAGAGTGACTTATTTATTGTTCATAACTCATTTGTAATTCATTAATTCTGTTTATTATAAACTCTCATGTATCTTTTATATAACAAGGCATATTATTTTTAAAACAAGTAAACAAAGAAAATCTTATGTTATTTCTGTATGTGTGTGTATATATATATATATATATAAAAAATTAAATTGAGATTAAAAATAATCTACAATAATCTACTGATATATGTATACACACACACACACACACACACACACACAATATAAATTATTTTTAATCTCAATTTAACTTTTCATTTTTTTCTTATAAAAATAAGTAAAAAATGAAGAAGAATAAGTTCAAACGAGATTGAAGTTATTTGCATTAATTATATTAAAAAAGGATGTTATTCAATCAAATGGACATTATTCAGATCTTGATGTCTAATATTTTTTTTACAATTTTACAATTTCTAGTTTAAACTGCATCTCAATTATTTGTCTCGTAACAGTCCAGAACTGAAGCTGGAGTTCGCATACGATTATTTTTACTTCATCAGTAAAAATATAGTTCTCTATTTTTTATCAACTTGTATAATACTCGTACGCAATGTATTCTCTTTCAACAGTCTTATAATTATAAATGTCATTGATATTTAAAAAAAGAAATTATGACTATATATTCATAACCTCAATGAAGAGGTTAGAAACGTACCTCGTTACAAATCTAAATAATTAAATAAGCAAATAAACAATCATGATGAGATAATCTTAAATTACATAATTATATGATAGCCGATGTTCTACTCGTCGATGTCCAAGGAACTTTTTGTTAATTACTAAAAGAAAATTAAAAAGATCGCGACGAAAAAAAGTTGGAACAGCTCAATAAATATCGAGTATATTGCTCGAGATCTTTTTGTTTACCTGGTATATTAGTGTTACTGTATTTTCCATTGTCGCCGTCAGCCTTTCCCGAATTAGTGCGAAAGTCTATCATTTTATTATAACAATTTGAAAGCTGTGTCTCTCCGTCGTAACACGAGATTCGAGCGAAGAACGTACGAAACGACACAACACATTGAACGAGGATGAATATGCTGAATACTATCGAGAGGGTGAACAGTGTTGTTAAACGAGCCGGGTTTCAGACGCATGCGCATCCAATGTAGTTTCAGTAACGTACCGGTCACTAATATATAGAAGATCATTAGTCGCTTAGAATTGAAAATGTTGAAAATTTTAATATATTTTACATATTTTATATACATATTTAAAATATGGTCGGTATTTACAGTCAGATCTTATATTTAAAACCGTCTTAAGTACAGTCTTAAGTACAATCTTAAGATGTCACGAACCAATCAGAGGGCCGTATTAGCATCTTGAGATCGTAGGTGTTTTTTATTATTGCATTTTTTGAATTGATACACACATTATTTGTTTCACTTTAATTTATTGTATCGGTTCAGAGTGCAGCAATAAAAAACAGACCTATTACTTAATGGCGAATTCGATTGGAAGTACTGGTGTATATTAAAGCCGTTGTACATACACTGATTTAATTTAAATATAAAAATAAAATGCAAATATTTCGAATACATATTTTACATAATAGTTCAATAAAATGTATTTAGTATTTCATGATTTAATCGATTTCTATATTTATTTATAAACATATTTTTACGTTATTTTGTGTACGACGGCTTTAATGTGCGCAGAGTACGTCCAATCGAATTTGCTATAAGATCTTGAAATAAGAACGGACTTTGAATATCACTCAATTGAATTTACACTGGGCGATGAACGACGAGCGATATCCAATAAAAGCTGTGCTTTTTCTCACGTGACAACACAAATCAAAGCTCTTATTGGATATCGCTCATCACTCATCGCTTATCGCGTTCAGTGTGAATTAGGTATTATGCCTCCGGTACACCAGCGCGATGTTCGTCGCGCGCGACATGCGATATCCAATGATGGCTTTACCGATGTTTTCATTCTAAAGGTATATTCTCATTGGATATCGCGTGTCGCGCGCGACGAACATCGCGCCGGTATGCCGGAGCCATTATGAAGCGCAATGTAACACCGCGACCCTCAGGAACACGCGCGGCCCTGGCGACCGAGTGTACATTGCCACGATACGAATCCGCCTTAAGGCATATTTCCCCACCAAGTGCGTATGAAGTGAAGGTAAGAGACGTCTCGAAAGAGTTGAGCATTGTTTTATCGTTCTCTTGTTTTCCGGTCTTCTACTTGAACGGATTGACCCTCGACTTGCGACAATAGCTTGTGTTGGTGAGTGTCACGTATTTAGTAGGTATTATTTCGACTCAATCTTCCAAAATCCGAGCTGGTACATAATCATTCTAATCCTGCGATCATTCTAATATACGCGCACACTAAAATCTCGCAGAGCTGTAATTTTTAATATTTGTATAATAGTATTTTTTAGTGTAATTGAGTATTTTTCATAGTTTAGAATCATTCTATTGTCACGTGATTAATTCTCTGAGTATTTGCTATTTCCATAATTCACAGTTTAAAATAATTCTATTGCCTTGATTAATACTTTTACATTTTACATGAACTTAGTAGAACCACTTCGCTCGTGCGAGGAAGCGACTCAAGTAATTAGAGCGCATTAATTCTTTGTATAACAATATAATTAATTCTATATACGCACTAATATACTAAGTGTATGTAAACATTAATAGGCTATTTGATGATTTCAGAACGTTCTTAAATCTATCTATATACATGTAAGAACATGATTTTGATGATTAAATCAGAGCCTTCCAACTTGGAGTGCATTCTGTTTCACGCATAATGTGCATGATACATTATTTATCCTTGTTTAATATTCGGTGAACAAGGATAAATGATCATTTGCATCATGCGTGAAACAATGTTGTTAGATGAGCCGGGTTTCAGACGCATGCGTGTCCAATAGCTTTAGTAACGTACCGGTCACTAGTAAATAGGAGATCATTAGTCGCTTAGGATTGAAAATGTTGAAAATTTTAATACATTTTACATACGTATATATATATATATATATATATATATATATAATGTATTTCTATATATGTATACATATGTAAAATATAATATATTAAAATTTTCAACATTTTCGAAAAAATTTTACATAAAAAAGCTCGTCCGCGGCGGATTTTGGCTCGAGTGCTTTTACTTTGCATATTTTTGAAGTGTTGTCTTAGATTGTGTCCTGATAAACAAATAATTGTCTCGCGATTTTAGACCACTCGTCCTTCTGATGCGCGTTCGTATGGCATGATACGCACATCATAGTCGCAGGTGTCCGTGCGAGCGAGCTTTGCTATTTTCGCGGATATTGCATCTTTTTATTTTTGTGTGTCCCTGAACATGATCTGACCGTATCGAATTTCCGTTCATAATTTCAGGAGGCGAGTGCCATATAGGAAGAAGAAGAAAGTGGCTGTGCACACCAGCTTATCATTTTGTATATAACGATTAGGCATAGTTTCATCAAAAGCTTGGTATGTATGTATGTATGTATACCGAGAAAGAGAACAAAAACAAAAGAAGTCGTGTGTATGACTTAGTTTATTTTCGTTTGGAAACCTTTAGGCTAATTCTACAATGTGTTTTTTGTTTTCTGTTTCTTGCTGTTTGTTTCTTGTCTTATTGACCAAAAAGACAAGAGGCAAACAGAGACAAACAGCAAGAAACAGGAAACAAAGAACACATTATAGAATTAGCCTTATTAATCCTAAAAGTTATATTTACATACTTGCTTGCGACAGCTCTGAACACTGGCGGGAAGATTGGAAGATAGGATTGGGGTAACTTTAAGAGGGACCTGCTTAGGCTGCGTTCGGCAGTGTTGTTAGGCAGGCTGGGTTTCAGACGCATGCGCGTCCAATGTAGCTTTAGTAACGTATTAGTCACTAGTAAATAGATCATTAGTCGCCTATATAAAATTTTTTCAAAAATATATCGTAAAAACGAACGTTATATATTTAAAACGTAATATATTTAAAATGCAGAATTACATATAGTTGACATTAAATTCAACCGTATGTTGTAATTATATAAACGTGTTTTTGTAACTCTGCGTTTTAAGAATATTTTGAATTTACTGAAGATGGCCAGATTGTGGCCGAAACGTTTAATGTTTTAATTAATGTAATGATAATTAAATATCACAAACTATAACTTGTGCGGTGGTTTCTTATATTCTTTTTATACGTTTTTCAAAAATGTTGAAAATTTTAATATATTTTACATATTTTACATACATATACATATATAGAAATATATTTATATATTGTATATGTATGTAAAATACATAAAATATATTAAAATTTTCAACATTTTCAACCCTTGGCGACTAATGATCTCCTATTTACTAGTAACCGATACGTTACTGAAGCTACATTGGATGCGTTTGAACCCGGCCCGTCTAACAACACTAGCGTTCGGATTTCCATTTGGGTGCTCTCTGGATGTCATATCATCCTTGTTGTTTACAGAACGTTAAACAAGACTGACATGACACCCGAGAGTATCCGAACGCAGCTTTATGCCTGCTGGACGCGATATGCGATGAGCGATTAATAAAAGCTGTGCTTTTTCTCACGTGACGACACAAAGCAAAGCTTTTGGATATCGCTCGTCGCTCATCGCGTCCAGTGTGAACTAGGCATTACCATGAAGAAACGATCACGTGACCATTTGGAAAACTTTGATTTAAATAATGGCTGCAGTGAATCTAACCTATTGAGTCCACTGAGCGCATCTAAACATTTGTGTCAGCATGAAATTGTGTGTTTCTGTGCCTCTGCGTCGCATCTTTTCTTAATTCTTATGCTCATTTTCCCGAGGATCCGTTAGTGCAAGTGTTATGATCAATCAGGAGATCGTCGAGGATTGCGATAAGTGATATTATTCGCCACATGGTTCATCGAGGACACCGAGTCACGCCATTTGCTATGTGAATTGTCGAGGAAACGTCGAGGAACGGTGAGTCACGCTATTCGTCACGTGGACCGTCAAGGTGAGTGAAGTTATGTTATCTTAAAACATCAACAGAACATAGTTTTCTCTGTGCGCACCACATACATCTTTTTAGACACCGTCAACTTTGAGCCGCACACTATGGCATTATCACTTCAAATATAGACATATGATGACTTATTTATTAAATGAAATTATTCGTCTTTTGAAAGATTCTTAAATCCATAAAAGGCATACTACGTGAACTTTAAAGAAGAAAATAATGTTTAGAAAATAATGTAAATTTATTTAAAAATGGAAAATCTAACCTTATTTATTTTAGTGAGACAAAAATTTGAAGTTATGATTTTATTTTTCTTCTTTTTAAAAGAAGATGTTTATTTTTATTTTATAAAATATATCGAGTTTATATTTTACTACATAAATACAATAATTGAAGTCAATGAAACGCAATAGCTGCGTTCAGCAAAGAAAATTAGTTAGCACTAATGATTCTTTAATATGATTGGTTCTTGCCTTTAGTTCTTCGTTAAATCTAATTATCACTTCGTTATATATTTAGATTAAAAGAGAATAACTACAGGTTATACCTTCAACTTGTAATGTAAAATTCTATAAATTTAGAATTAAAAATGTTCAAAATGGTACTGTAAAAGTCAATTAAATTTATACTTTAATCCTGGAAAAGGATTTTCTAATACAAAATTATGATTTAGTCGGTAAAACAGGCGGCTTTAGAATCTCTAAGTATAAGGATATTGAAAGCATCATATATTTTTAATTGAACAAATTTATTTATAAAATATATAAATAATGTATTTCATATGAAAGAAATTATACTAAGAACAAATAAAAGATACAAATAAAAGAAATAATATAAATAAAATAAAGAAATAAATAAGAAATTAAGAAATAAAAGAAGAGCTACGAGTCAAAACAAATTTTAATATGTGATACAGAGAGAGTTGACATTAAATAACATAAAAGTAAAAACAAGATAAAAATATAAACATAAAACTAACGTTTCGACCCCGTTCGGGTTATTTTTAAAGTTATAAACTAATATGTATATACAAAAAACGGTTAACTAAAATAGACCAACAAAGATAACTAATTATAGAGGTACAATGACAAAAATGATTAAAAGTAGACTTTAGTAGACTTTTAATTGTTTAGGCTGATTTCAATTATATAGTCGACGGAAAGTAGATCCTGAATTTACGTCAAATATTTAAAAAATATCACTGAGTATCAAATAAATATAAGGTAAACGTACGGAATAACGCCACTGATCCGAATAGCGCCATCTTAACCTATTTTATACACGCAGTAAAATACAACGTAGTGAAAGTGTTTATAAATTTTTAGAAAGAGATTGTGAAAATGTGCGAAATGATTCCGCCAAAGTAAGTATAAGAAAATATAATCTGATTTTTCGTGAAAAGCAGTTACATAATCTCATGTCGAGAATGTATCATTATTCGTGATTGAATTTGTTCTTAAATAACTACCATGACAAAATAACCTATAAAATGATAAATGTGATATTTTTGAATTGTAATACAAAGTGTTTGGTTTTGTATTACATTAATATGTTTAAAAAATAACAAAAAAGTAAAATACTATACAATTATACGATTTTTGTATAATATAATAAAGGTGGCAGATTTATATGCATGCGAAAAGCATCATAAAACCGCCAATATATAATAACACTTTAATACAAATTAGTAAGAAGTTAATATAATAACTGGATGGGATCATTAGATCAACAACAAATTACTGCTTAGTAAGAGTCTACGAGCCGAAGCTGAGTGTTCATGTATTAACGAATCTTATGAAGAACAAACGTTACGATCTTTATTAGATCGTAATGTTAATCTTTCCATTGTTAACATTATAATTATTTACACTTTACATAAACAAATTTTAAAAATACGATTGTAACTACAATTATCGGCTTTCTATCATATTTTATATGCTGTCATTTTATCGCCTAAACAATTAAATATCTAAATTTTATTTCATTTGTAATCTAATTTGTAAATTCAACATTCTGATTTATTATGTTAAATTAAACATTTGCGCAAAAAATAAAGATTTCCAAGATTGGAAGATTTCCAAGATTGGATTTGTAGTATGTGAGACGACTATAACATCATTTTCTTTCACTTGAGATTGGTTTGTATCAAATATAAGTTTTCCAATTTAATTGTCAACTGATGCAATAGTCCTTCATTTCATGATATAAGCAACGTACATCTAGAATTCCTAGCGAACCGTTTTATGATTGAAACTTTACTAGCAAGTTTAGTATATAAACGTTTTCTGAACATTACAACAATACAAAAAATATAATTGCTGGTAGAGTTTCAGTATTGTATTTTTTTATTCATTGTATTTTTAAAATTTGATCTGTAAAGTGTAATTAACATTTAAAATTAATAATGATCGAAAGGTTTGTTCTTCATAATATTCGTTAATAATAGTATGAATATCCAGTTTTGGTATAGCCCTTAATTGCAATAAATCAATAAGAATTAAAATATACATAAAGTACATAAAATTTTTAATTATTTTGTAAATAATGTAGGTAATAAATAATGTAGGTAATAACCCCATTAATTAATTCTTAATTTCAAAATAGGAAAATTGCACATTAATTTTATACTCATTAGCATTTATGATAATTTTATATATTATAAAAGGCAAAATTTATAATAAAGTTGATAAATTTATAATAAAGTTGATATGAAAACATTATATATTCATTTTTACAGACAAAGGGCTAACCATTCAAAATCAGCAAAAACTGTTACATACTCTTTGGAGTCACTAATACAAACTGTTAACGATGTCAAAAATAGATTAGGAATTCAAACAGCGTCTAAAAAATATGGCATCCCAAGAAGAATTATTCAATTATTTCCTAGATTTCTATTGTGTTTTCTAGAGAAAATGAAACAATTCCGGTTGGAATCTATTCCGATTTGTTCCATGATAGATGTCTTGATAAGGCGTCATTCGGTACATATTAGTGGCATAAATCGGGACATCACACAATTTTAGTGAGCGTAATTTAGTACATTTGCAGTTCACGTTTAATTCTCTTGTATATTTAAGTAATTTTGTTTATTTTCAATTTTTATATATGATTTCATTAATTTATAGTATCACAATTATAATAAAATTTATAGTTTTATGTAATACTATGTTACTTCTGTAGGAATAATCTTTGCAACATCAGTATTTGCTTACAGTCATTCCGTACGTTTACCTTAATAGTTAACGGAAAATAAATCTTGGATATCCGCCATGATTACAAAAGCCAAATATTTTTGTCAACTATATCACATACACATTAAAATTTATTTTGTTTTGCTCGTAGCTCTTTTTAGTAAGAACATATCGTGCATTATAATTATTAGACGTAAAACAATGAAGATAAGGAAGTGTTTATATTAGCCATATGCTATATGCCGTAATCTGTAAGAATTGATTAATCACAGTCGAGTATTTCTTTCTTGCTCGAATGAGAGAGGAATCCTCCTCCTCAGTCCTATTGCTCATGGTTTATTGATTGGTCTAGTATTGGAAGGAAGAAGTAACGAATTTGGAAATCAATCAATTCCAGCAAAAAATTAGATATTAATGTCATTATGGTTCATGGCAACACCTGAAAATTTTCAGTATGATAATTTTCAGTATTTATAATTATTTATATTTCTCTCTATTAATTGTTTGATACATTGATTTTAATTTGCAGATCGCAAACTTTTTAGTGTCTTTTAAGAAAAATATATAAAAAGAACTAATATCTCTTTATTATCTTTTTTAAAATTGGATCTTTGTTTATATGAATTTCGAAATCTACTAAATCTATATCCCAAAAAATCTTTAAAAAATGGTATAAATATGTATACATGTGTTACAAAATTTATAATATAAATTACGTAATTTGTTTATCATCAGTTTGTTGTAACTTTTAAATGGTGCATCTACAAATGATTCTGAATCAAGATATATTAATAATTTTTTTTTTATCTTAAAGTTGGGTGACGGTTCACAAAGATAAATGAACGCTACTAATGTTTCAAATGTTTCAATTCTTCTTTTTAAAATTGTTTTAAATGGTACTTACTTAAAAAAACAAGATCGATTAAAAAATCGAATGTTTGCGTTTCTGGAAGTTTCTGGCAATTCTGGCCGTTCCACGAAAAAACTTCAATTGAATAAAGGACAGTCCGATTGCTTGTGATCATTCTCCTATTCCTGAAAGTTACTAGATATTAAAGTTACTAGTGCTTCTATTCTGAAGCAGTTTATGCGCATTTTTTTTACTAACAACGTTATTGAACTTCATAAACAATATGCGGCCACTGCGCGCATATGCAGGACGTTAAAACGCTCTCAATTGGCGCATATGCGCTTTGCGGAATGCAGCTTATATCACTCATTGAGCACTTGTGCTAAACCAACGTTTTACATAATGGCTTCTTTAAGTTGACTGTTGTACCAAATGTCTGCAGAATAGCGCCTTAAAGAAAGATATTATTTAATAAACTTATATCTTTTGAAATAACGATAAAGTATTATTGAAGTATTATTGAAGAGAGTATATCACAGCTGTGTGTGAAAATATTGTATTAAAACATTCATGTTTCAAGAGAACTTTCTAATAAGAAAGACAATTGACAAAAGCTAATGGCAATTTTAAATTAAAAATTGTTTTTTATTTAAAAGGATTTTTCAAATGGTACATAGTTTTATATAAATAATAAGAAAAGGTTTTTTATCTTTATAATATACAGTGTTCTGTAAGTTTTGGCCAATCGCTTTTGTGTAGATAGAGCGGACTAAACTGAGAACGAAAAGTTCTCTACTATTTTTTTTTGTAATTTTCGCAATAACAAGATATTAATTACTAAAAATTGCTAAATATTGATCTTGAATAACTTTTTACTCAAATACTATCAATTTCACAGAAAATCTGCAACAGACAAAATCATTAATTTTTTCTCATAGAACTCTAAGAATTTTTTCAAAATTTATCAACTTTTTAGTACTGCATTTTCTAATTCTTACCAACATGAGAAAATACGGTATTCAAAAATTCTGAAAAAATTCTCAAAACTTTATGAAAAGAAAATTAATGATTTTTATTTCTTGCAGTTTTTCTGTAAAGTTAATATTTGAGTAAAAAATTATTGAAAACCAATATTTAGCGATTTTTAGTAATTAATATCTGATTAACCATTGCGAAAATTGCAAAGTGATACAAGATTTTTCGATTCACAAGGAGAGGTGCGACGTGATAATAAATATCCTTTTACCCAGCATCACTTGACATGACCTATGGCTATAACGAGTTGGAATCGATTTCATTGTTATCTCTTTGTATTCTCTCAGTTTAGTCCGCTCTATCTACTCAGGATGAATAATGCCGAAATTTAAAGACACCTTATATATGTTATTCTTATAACAAAATTCGATTTGAAATAACTACAAGTATATTTTGACAATATATGAATTTTCAATTTTAGTCGGAATTTGTAACTAAAATCGCACTATATTTTAGATGTATTAATATTCTGTCTTAATATAATATTTAGTCGCATATCCATTTACTTTTATCACTGCGGCACAACGATCTGGCACTGAGTTAACGAATTTTATGTGGCGTGTAAGAGAGATTTTTTCCATTCCTCTTTTAATATCTGAAAAAAGATTTGTTCGAATATTTATATCTTTAACGCCTTTTGGAATTCTTCCCACAAATGCGATAGGATTTAAATCCGGATTTTAACTGGAGCAGTCTAAAATTTTTATTTTATTTTTAGAAAAGGAGTTGCATGTTCCAAGGTGTTTAGGGTCGTTATCTTGCTGAAATAATCATTCTCGGTTATAAGCTTAAGACAACTTAAGCTTTACAACAGAGAAAATGAAAGAAACAGTCCAGTAATCGCTTGCTTTTTGTAATATAATACAAAAAGCAAGCAACTACTGAACTGTTGAATTATATATTGTATAATAACCAATATATTGGTGATCAAATATTATCTTCAGTATTTTTAATTGAATCGTAAACAACTAAAGGAAATATTAGTAGTAATCCTTTAATTTGATCCACTTAAACATTTATGGACTTTGCGATTTGAAAGCAAGCATAAATATTTTAAGAATATCATTAAAAGCACTCACAAAATTTTAAGAACATAATTAAATTATTATCGCAAAAACATCAATTTTTACAAAATCAATGTTCTAAGGATACATATCGTTCTTTGGTAAAAGCAGATAATGCAGAAGAATATATTAGGTGTAGTAAAAAGAAATCCATTATTTTTCCAATAGATGGCTTTAGTAATCTGTATCACGCGTAGACGAGATACAGATTACTAAAACCATCTATTGGAAAAATAATGGATTTCTTTTTACTACACCTAATATATTCTGGAAAATTATTATTAAAATTCAAATATTACATTCACATTAACATTTTGTGCATTTACACAGTAATTTAATATTCGAATATGTAATAATATAATTGCAAAAAGTATTGTTACATTATCATCCTGTAACTTTACATACACATTGTAAATATACTTTTGTAATCTACTTAATTACAAATTAAGAAATTTATTTAATTAATTTTATTTATATATAGAAAAGTTACAAACGCATAGAAATTTACAACTATTACAGTGGGTCTCAAAATTACCCACTTTAATTTTTGTAATTTTACATGAAATTTTTTTACAGTGTAAATAAAGAGGCACGATAACATTATACGTGGATATCGTCTAAAAAAACTGTACTATAATTTAATAGAAAGACACTGAAAGGATATTATATTACAGAAAGTACTGCATCTTCGAGAAATCTGTTCTTTGATATGTGCTCCTGCTTTATCTTTTGGTCAAGTTGCGTTATTAGAAAGAAAAAATTAATGAAGAAGAAAAAATTAATGAATATTTATTCCTAAGATTAAAATATTTTTCCAGATATCAAATTAAGACCATTAGAGCATTATTATATTTTCTCATTATCCTTCCTTAATCCTAGCTTTCAAAGGTGAATCTTGCTTTACACCCTTTACTATTTTCATCGCTGTTTTGACTTGTTTTATAGTAAGTTATAATTGTTTGTCCAAACTAAATGTTGTGTATGTGTTATGAAGGATTAACTCAATACGCAGTTCATCTTACTTACTTATAACTTTAATGACAATTCGTTTACATGGAAAATCGCGAACTTCTGCTTGTTCCTTGTCAAATTCAATGCCAGATCCATCATTAGCTTGTGTCACTCTCGTTCGCAATCTCGTCAACTTTGCCTTTACATAGCCTCGCGCTCGGCGAAGATCAGCAATCTCCGACATCTTTGAAATTGTCTCTTTATCGTAATTTCGAGATTCACTGATATTGCGGTGCGTTACCCAATTTTACGAATACTAGACATAATGGCCAGAAGTGAGATCCGGCTCGAACCAAATGTAAAATAATAATGTAAGTTATAATTGTTTGGATTCCTGTTAATATTTGTACACATATTTTAATTATAACTGATTCTGAGTTATATCACAAAAACGACAGAAATATTCCGAAGAATGAACATTTTCTATCATCAATTTTGTAAAACCTATTTGATGACTTCCTAAATTATCACCTAACACAGCTACTATAGTACCAACAAAATTAATTGTTCTATCAGCAACAGAAATAACTATTCCATATCTTTTTCTATACTTCTTAAGTCATTCATTAAAGAGTTCAGTACCTTATCATATTACCTGTTACATCCCGATAAAATCCTCTTATTCTTTATCGTAAATATATGATTTATACCTTATTTTTTATCTTATCGCTAGGTTAATATTTTATCTTTATTTCAAAACCGAAAATTCCTTTTCTCTTTTATAAGAGGGTATATTCAGTTTCTTTATTTAAATATTCAAATCAACAGATAGATCACGTTATATACTTTTATGCGTCATACAAATTATCTACAGATTATTCTAAAGAATGTCTAAGAATATCACACGATCTTTCTCAAAGAAGCCCTCCTAT